ATCTTTTTCCTTCCAATTAGATCGCGCTGCTTCTGAGGTCTCAATGATACAGATGATGTTGACTGCGCATTTGGATTGACAGCTCGACCAAAAAGAGATTCATTGTGCATTGTTCGCACGATTTTCAACGAATGGAGTACACAGCTCTCTGCCCAATTGCCGATAAAATAAGCGTCGTTCATACGATTTTTTAACAAGCATTTTATTATTCTAATAATACAGAATATATGCTGCAAGGCAGGCAATATCGAGAATATTGTAAAAAAATGCTAGAGGCCATCGTTGAGTTGATCTTTTTGTAGTATATGTACTAAGCAATTTATCCGTCTAAGCCAGCTTTAGACCAGTTATAAAACTCGATGATTTCGAGTTTTTTTTGTACTATCACTAATTTTTGCTTCGTGATGCACTGATGATAGCATAATTACTACCCTGTTTTTTTTTTTGGCATATAACTATATGGGTTTACTTTTTCATRAAAGCCAAACACAGTGGATAATTCTTCTCGAGTTTTTGAAACAGCCTTTGCTGGTGGAATGTATGCTTTATTTTTTTTTTCAGAGTACCAACAATCGTCAAGTTCAAGATAGTAAAAATTTTACTAGTGGAAGAGTTGTTAAGGAATTATTCATTGCAATGATTCTACCGGATCCTTTGTATGGTACCACCAAGTCTTTAACAACTTAGGTACCTTAGGGTAAATATTGCAATACCAATATTAAGTGTTGAAAGTTGGTATTCTGTATTACGSAATCCAAAGGGGGTCTCAAAGTGCAAGTCATGATTGTTACGGCAAGTGTTATTAAAGTTCCATGCACATTTTCACATWTAAATATAAATAAGAATTGTCTCAGCAAACGTCAGCTAATATTTATGTATGTGCTCGATAGATTTTTGCTGCTATATTAGCTTGGCTTAGCGGTATTTCTATGAACATCAGAAAGTGTCCACAAATTTTGAAAACAGTTTAATTTATATGTATGTATATACTATGCACAGTAAATATTCTAGTGCAATACTTGTCTTATATTAGTTTATTAGGTGGAAGTAGCATCCCAGTCAGKATTTACATATTGTATAACAATGAGCGTTTCGTATGCGTTCAAATGTAAGTAAAASACTTATAAAACGCTGCTATGACCTTTACAAAAGACAWCAAAGCGAGAGGTTTATAATCGAAAAGGATTTAAAATACAMTTGCAAAAAATTTTAAGTAACGTAATTACACGATTTTTACATGCTTGAAAAACACGTTTTGAAAATGTCTACAAAACGTGTATTTTAATGAAATTAGTAAGCGTTTCAAACATTTACTTTGTTTTGGATATGTTTTTTTTATTGATATATTTAAAAAATCATTTTTAACATTAATTTTGTTTTTAATATTAAATTAAAATGTATAAATAGGAACTTCATTGTTGTGTCAATAAAAAAGGATTATTACTTAGTATTTAAGATAACTTTTCTTGTTGCTTTAAGTTTGTTTTTTGTGTACTGGTAATATGACTTAGAGGCAAATACAAAGTCCGCTTCCTTGCCTCTATTTTCAGCAAAAGTTTCTGCAATAGAATTTAAATATGAATATAAAAATGTAACTAGAAACATATTAAACGTATTAAACTATTAAATGTATTAC